AACAAAAAGAACTTATAAAAAAATTATTTTATGAAAATTGAAGTGAGAATCATTGAAGCAAAGGATTTAAAAGTGACTGATTATTTTGCTGGAACAAGTGACCCTTATATCAAATTAAGTATAAATGGACAGATGCATAAAACAAATGTTGTTTATAGAACATGTGATCCTAAGTTTAATCAGTCATTTACGTTTGATATTATTCCAGGACAACAAATAACATTTGAAGTTTTTAGCTTTGATGAGTCTGGAAGACATGATCCATTAGGAACTGTTCAACATTCACTTTCATATTTCTATCAAGGACAAGTAAGTGATTTATGGCTGCAATTATCTAAGAAAGGTCAAATCCATATTCAGGTATTTTCTCCTGGAGGATTACCTAATGTCCTTTCAGCAGAACAGTTAAATTCTTTGCATCTTGGGATAAATCAGAAACAAATGACAACTCAATCTCCTTTAATTGGATATAAGTACTTTGGTTATACTCCTTCATTCAATGAATTAATGTAATTGTTACTTTCTACTTTTTTACAAGAATTATTATAAAATTACAATCACTAGAGTCATATAAAGAGTCTCATAAAAGAATAGAATTAATGAAAATATAAGAAATTCATAATAATGTTTGGGTGTTGGTATTGATGAAATAGAAATTGATATTTTATATTTTCTTTTACAAGGTAGAATAAAGAAATGTTCAATGACAGGAGTGATAGTAAAAAGTATTTTATGAGGAGAAAGTCTATTTAAAAATTAATTGTTTTCTTTACCCTTAATTACTTTTTCAATTTCAACAAAGAGTAATAACACGAAACAAAAAGTAATAGTGAAAGAGCAATGATTTCTTTTATACCTTCATTTGAGAATTAACATAATAAAATCATTAATTTTATAACAATTTGATTTTATAAAATGTTATTTATTTCAAAATTAATAAATTGATTTTTTTCTTTACTACTTTCTTTATTTCATTTAATTACGAATCAATTGGTTATTTAGAATCTCAAAACAAGAATTTTTGTATCTCTTTTTCGTTTTGTTTTTATATTTTTTTTTAATCATTGAAAGAAACTATTTTCCATTTTTATTCTTTGTTTTTTTTTGTTGATAGAGAAGAGTAATTTACCTTTCTTTTAATTATTTCATTTGAATGAAATTTCAAAATCTATCGAATTTGAAAAGAACTAAAAAAGAATAAAGAAGTTTCAATATTTTTTCAATCCAAAAAGCTTATTTAAGAAAAAATATTTAAATTCTTTTACTTCCAAAATCTCAAAGAACTTTACAAAAAAACTAAAAATTTTATTTAATAAATTGTTATGAATTTAAGAGGAACAACCGATATATTAAAAGAAAAACATAATGAAAGAGATGGGTTAAGACAAAATAGAAGACAAACACTTCTTCAGTCAAAAAGATTACAAAGTGAGCAGATGATAATTATACCAAAAAAAATAGTTTGTAATAATAAAGAAGTTTTTAAAATAAAAAAGAAAAAGTTATTTACAAAGAAATAGGGCAGTAAAGAATTATATCAAAAAATAAATTCACAACCAATTACATTAAGAGAAATGTATAATATTATTTTAACTTTAGAAGAAATTATTGAAGCATCATCAGAAGTTGATGAATTTGATATATTTATTGAAATATTAATAAAATGGATTACAAATTCAGTTTGTAGGTTTTATTTATTTATAATAAGTTTATATTCATTCAGTTTAGAAAGACATAATGTTAAGATATCATGTTATTACTGTTTTCGTTCTTATTGCTCAAAAAAAACTTGTTCCTCATTTAAAAAATACTACAATGAATATTGCTCAATTAATTATTTCTCAAACAAATCATTCAGATTTACTTGATAGAACATTACGTCTTGTTGGATTTTATTTTGAACGTTCAAATGATATTGAAGACTATAATAAATTTTTAGAAATTATTCATTTAATTGAAAATAAAAAAAGAATTGACAAAAATGTATTAGGAACAGTTTGTTGGGCTTTATTTTTTGTTGTTACTCGTGCTGCAAAACAAAACCCAACATTTCTTCAATCATTTTTTCCTTTTATCTCATTGAATTTGGATCCTTCTGATGATAATATTGAAGGTAATAATTGCCTTCTTATTTGTATTTCACAATGTATTGAATATAAGGTTGATTATATTATTCTTTTTGATCAATCTACACACTTTCTTTCAAAATTAGTATTATTTCTTAAGACAGGAGTAGAAAAATTAGTACTACCAGCACTCCATGTTATCGGTCAAATCATTGGATGTTCAGATGATTATACTGAAGTATTTGTAAATGATGGTTTAATAGATACGTTATTCTCTATCTTCGAATCATTACCACCAGATACAATCTTGTCAGAGGCAATGTGGGTTTTAAGAAATTTATTTATTCCAGAAGGAAATCCACATGCTATTTATCTGATAGAAAAAGGTGTCATTCAGTATCTCATCCGTTATGTTTATCGTCAAAACATCCAGTTTGCAAGAAATGCTGTTTGGGCATTAACTACTGCTATATTATCGTGTAAATTAAGACAAGATATGTTACAAAAAATGATATCTAATGGAGTTGTTCAACCTATTGTTTATGTATTAAAAAATCGTTCATTATTTACATCTGATGATGTTTTGAACTGTATTGACTCAATTTTATGTTTAATGATACAAGATAATGTTTCTCCACAAATAGGGTCTCGTAATGCATTTGAAGAATTAAATATTAATGATATGTTAGAAGAACTAACAGATGACAAAACAATACAAGGGTTTACCCGTTTAAAGATTGAATTATTAAAAGGTTATTTTAGTCCAGATAGAATTGAAGAAGAAATGCCACTTTCATTGTAAAAAGAGAATAAAACTTAAATATTTATATGTTTGGTTTTAATTTTAAATCAATGAATTGAGTTATTAGGTACATTCAATGGAGATGTTGGTAATTATCAATAACACTGTCCAACATGATTTCTGCAGTTTGTTTATCTTCTATTAAAGAAATATCAATCTCATTGATCAAATCAACAGGAATTGCTATTGGAATAGTAATATCATATTGGTTATAAATATCTAATAACTCCTGTCTAATTTGTCTTTCAAACATAATTCTTTCTTCACGTTCTTTAGATACTCTTATTTCTTCTGATGTTTCTTTCTTAACTATTTGTGTTAGTCTTGGAGGAGGTTCTCTGATTTCTACCACAGGAAGACCAATTTTTTTAAAGACTTCTCTATATGATACACTTTGGTCAGGGATATTTGGTGGATAATTTTGTGGTTCTTTCAATACTGGAGCTTGAGGAGTTTTTGATTTTAAAATTGTGGCAGAAGAGTTTGGTGTTGGTTCAGAAGGTCGTTTAATAGCTTTAGGAAATAGGTATTTCTTTTTTACAGGAGGTACAGGTGGTAGAACAATTTTGAATTCATTTTTGAATGTTTTTGTACAAATTGGACATTTTAGCGTCAGTGAATTTATGTCAAAGTCTTTATGTTGTAATAAACATAGAGTACAAAAATATAATTTTCCAGCACAACAGGTATTGAATAAATTTAAAGGATAGTCCTTATTGGCTCCAAAACAAACAGCACAAACCGGTTCATTTTCTTTTTCTGGTACAATCATATCATTAAAAATAGGAGACAACTTCATTTCACGGATATATTTTTCAACTCTATATTTGATTGATTTCCAATTTGAAGGAACTTGGTCATTTTCAAGAAAAGGTAGTTTATATTCTTGCAATGACATATGATGAATTTTTTGTTTTTGATTTTAAGATTTTTTAAATTATGATAATGGTTGTTTTATTGATTTGAAAATAAGTTGAATATTATTTTACTTCTTAAAAAATTAAAAAATAATAAAAAAAACATTGTTCTACCTCATAAAAATAATTTAAAAATCATTTGTTTATTTAATAAATTTATCGCTTAATATTTATTGGTTCCATTCAATCTTAACTTAATAAAAACCCATTTTGTTTTTACTATCAAAAAAAAAGTAAAACAAAGTATAACGGTTTCAAATAAAATATCAAGAATAAAAAATAATAAAAGAATTGAATATAAATTGACCAATAAGTAATACCCAAATAATTCAAGAGTTAAAACTTTTTTCAATTATTCGTATCTTTTAAAATAATTGAGATAAAACCTGTTTAACCTAAACACTCAATAATAAAAATTATTGTTAATGTACTAGATATAACAAAGATATACAGTTGAAGAGAATGTAAAAGAGTAGAAAAAAAAAACATCAAATAAAATATATAAAAATGAAATTGAAAAGAGAAATAATTCCAATAAAGAGAAAGATGAATGAAATTATTGTTATTTAAAACTCGAAAAGATTATTTCAAGATCATGGAAATTAGTACAATACTAAAAGATGTAAGTAAAGATATTTCTGATAAGTCAGGTGCTACTGATTGTATTTTTGTTAAGAGATATGACTGTACTTTATTTGGTGAACGAGTTATTGTTGAAGAAACTATAAAAGATCAATGGAGTGTTAATGATATTCAAAGTATGTTTAAAATACTTTCTGTTGTAAGAGAGAAGGGATGTAATCATGTTGTACAACCAATGGGATATATTGTTAAAGATAAATTATTAAATATTTATGGTATTGTCCATCAAAAATTTGTATGTAATTTAGAAGAATTTTTATTTAAAAGAGAAAAAACATTTTTTAAGAACGTAGTATTAACAGTCTCAATGAAATACAATATTGCTATTCAATGCTCAGAGTCATTATATATCTTTCATAGTCTTGGTTTTACTCACAAACGAATTGAACTAAAATCATTTTATCTTGATAAAAATATGAATGTATTTCTTGGTGATTATTACTTTTCAGCAAATAAAAATTATCCGTTAATGAATGGTCATAATATTGGAAAAGAAGGAGATGTATTTGGGTTAGCATTTATCGTTTATCAATTATTCAATGAAACTCATTGTGATATTAATGCTGTTAATTTACCAATACTTCCAAGACATTATATGAAACAAGAATTATGTAATCTTCATGGAGAAGAAAAGAAATTAAAACGTGAAAGAATTGTTAAAGAAGATGTTTATGCAAAATTAATTTGTAATATTTCTCATCAATTAGAAAATTTATTATTAGATACATGGAATTCTTATAATCTTGATAGATTAACAGCAAATGAATTTTTAAATAGAATCAATGATTGTTCTTTAGTAACTGAGTGTGGTGGATTTTGGGAAGCTGACTTTTGGGTATATTGTACTCGAGAAAATGGATGTCTTCCTGAAAAAGTATTGAACTTTGAAAATATGGCATCTAATATAGCAACATCCGTAGAAATACCAATATCATTAGTGAATCAATCAGGTATAATATTATCAAAAAATAATGAAATAACATCAGGTGCATTTGGATATTTTATAAATAATTTTGGTAAATTTTATGTAGACAATAACATTATGTCTGATCTTATTCAATTTGCAAGTTCTGATTATTATTTTGATATTTCTAAAGACGAAGCACAAACATATTTAAATAATAAAGTAGATCTTACTTTCTTGATTCGACCAAGTAACACAAATCCTAAATTTCCTTTTACCATTTCTAAAAGAGTTAAAAGTAAAACGGTCCATACAAGAATTGAACGTAGAGAAAATTCATTTTATTGTACTATGAGTGGTAAAGAATATAAAGCTAAAAGTATTCCAAGTTTAGTTGATATGTTAAGAAATGATGGTTTAATTAAAGAGTCATGTCCTAAAGAACTAACTGACGATAATTATTAATTATATCATTAGTACAACTATTGAAGAATTAATAGATAATTTTTCAAAGCTTCAACGTTTTAAAAAGAAAGAAGTAATGAAATAATTTAATTATCAAATCAACACTCTATCAAATAACTTTTCTTTACAATACAAAATTCTTGAAAAAGAAGATCTAAAAGAATATATAATTCTCACATAGAATCAATTGGAGTTTTATAAATAATTAGTTAATTTAATAGAATTTTGAGAATAACAAAACTCTTTTAAGAGTTTATCTATAAAGCGATTAAATATTAAAATAAGAAGTTATTTGATTGAAATCTGACATAAAGTTGTAATTTTCCCATTGTTCCCAATTAGTAAATTTTAATAAAAGAGAATTAAATTCTTCTGTTAATATTTTATTAACTTTAAATGCTTCTGATTGAAGTTCATTTATTGTTATAATAAAGTATGACTTCCAATCAATCAACTTATATTTTAAATCCCATAAATTCATTACTTTTTTATAAGTCCTTCCAAATTTAAGGGCATTCATTAATTCATCTGTTCTACCATTATATTTTTTATCAATAACTCTTTTTACTTGATTTAATACACTTTCCATTTCTTCTTTACTACATTGACTTGTTGGAATAGGAATAAATTCATTTCCAATTAATTCAATAAAAGAATGTAATATATCTGGATTAGAACTAATTTCATTTAAATTAAATCCCATTATAAATGCTTGGTCTAATAATTCTTTGGTTACTGTTGTTTGAGATGAAGAAAATTGAAGTGATGATTTAATACTTTTACAATTAGTGCTTTGTTCAAATAATGAAGGAAGTGATCCAGTTAATGGTTTTTGAATAAAAGAGTTAGTCAAAGGATGTATTGAGTCATTAATATTAAGTGGTTGGACTGGAAGTTTTAATTTTTGCTTATCTGAAGAGATAGTTAAAAAATTTGGTAATGATGCAGAAATTGATGGAATTGAAGCTGCAAATCCTCCAGAAGGAATTCCAGATTTTACTGTTGAATAAGACGTTTTTAATGACAAAAATCCATTTGTACAACTTTTATATAAAGTATTTTTAGAAGAATTTTTTAATGGAGGGTTTGGAATACGATCTATAAGGGATAATGGAGATGGTTGTTTTAATGAAAGTTCTTTTTGTATTTGTTTTTTAATGTTATGAGTTGGTAGAATTGGAGATGCTACTAGGTATTGACCTGTTAATTTTAAATCATTCATTCGAAGAAGAATTGTATTAAAGTCTGTTATAAGAGAACTTTCTACCCATTCAATTACTTTGTTTTTCATTAATATTTGAACGACACATTTAGTCTTATGAACTAACCCAATCCTAATAATTTTAATAAAACCATTTTCTAAAGATCCTTCAATCATACTGTCTTCATCTTTTGCTTGATGAGTAATAACAATAATTTGTTCTTTTCTCTTTTTTAATGGAATAATTTTATAAATTATACCTTCATTTAGTACAATCCGGGGTGATATGAAGACGTTTTTGTTCATACTACGAATCTAGTGCCTTGAGAACTTCACATTTTTCTTATGAGGAATAAATCCGTTTTGCTTTTTGAAAAAGAATATTCGTTTTTTATTAACCAAAACTAAAAAAAAATAATTGAAAAAACAAAAAATATGGAATTTATGTTTTACATTTGGACACTACTTAAATGATTTTCTATGATATTAATAATTTCGTTTAAGTCTTCAAAGTCATTTCTTGATGCAATTCGTATTAACGAAGAAACCAATCCATTTCCTTTTGTTTGAGCTATATCATAAGCTGTTTCATTTTTCTTATTTGTTATTGTATAGTCACACTTAAATCTTACAAGAACAACAGCAATTTCTATAATACTTTCTTTTGCAGTAAGATGTAATGCAGTATTACCTTCTTCATCCACCTCATTAAGGCTATATCCATTTACTATTAAATAACAAGCGATACTAATTCTTCTCTTTTTAATAGCATTTAGTAACAATTTACTTCCATACAAATCACTAATAACAACATGTGCCAATGCACGAACAATGTCTTCAATTGAATTATTTTCTATTCCATTCAAACATACTTCAATCCAATTTTCATCACTTGGAACAATAAATTGTTTTCTAATATATTTTCTTTTAATAACACATGCTCGTTCCTCAAGAGAAGAATCTGGTGAAATCATATAATGTTGTTGATAAATTTTATTAACCTTTTCATTTCCTAATGCATCTAATATTCTTACAACATAGTCTTCAATGTTATCCAATGTTGTACTCTTAACTCTACTATATGCCACTCCTAAACTACGATGAATTGCACTACATTTAATACAAAAAATTATTCCAAGATTTACTGAGACCCATTGTGGGTTTTCACATCCACATTCAGCACAATATTTATTTTCTTGTCGTTTCAATATTTTAGATAATAAAGGATGTACTATTCTATGAGATAGAGCTGTTCCATTTAATACATTTTCTTTTTGTTTTTCGATTAATTCTTGCCACTCTAAAGCCTCTTCTTTTGAAGGTGTAAATAAAATAAATTTACCATTTATTCCATTACATTCTAATGTATTTTCATTTGCCTTAAAATTAGTAGTAATGATATTAATTTTATCTTTTTCTTCTACCTGACCATTATGACGAATTAGTCCAATAAGAGAGTCTTTATTAAAGAGATAATATAATTTTTTATCATGAATAGATTGTTCTTTTCTAAAAAGAAATGTTCCAAATGATTGTGGATTAGGAATAGTATCTTTGATATTATTCATATTTAATCTAAAAGTATTTGTTTGCATAATTAAAGAATTAACTTTTGGAGTTTGAGTTTCTTCATTAAAATGACGTTTAGCAGTATTAGTAATATATTTTGAATATACATTAAATAAATGAACAATATTTTCTTCTGTCATAAGAGTCATTTGCTGAATTTGATTATTAAGTTCAATTCCCATTGTGATAATAGAATTTTGTAAATTCTTTTTATGTTCAATAAGTTCTATTTGATTATATTTTGGGTATTGTTTAATACTTTTATTTAATGAATTAAAAAATTCTTTTTCATTATTTTTGAATGTTTCTTTATTAATTTTTCTTTGTTTCTGTAAATTTGATAACAGTTCAATAATACCTTGACTCCAAGTTTTTAATTCATTTACAATATACATTTGACATTCAAAATGTTCTTTAAAAGAATCATAAAGTGAATGAATTTCTTCATAAATAGGAGTAACTTGTGCAATCTTTTCTAATTCAGAGATAAATGAAATCCATTGATTAAAATAATCTATCTATTAGGTATTAAATAATTTAAATAAAATAAAAACAAACCACCACCACATTGTATAATCATTGGTATTTTTAATAATATTTCTTGCCATTGAGAATCAAATAAATCAATTTGTTTATTTATTTTTTTAATTTGAATAATATTATATGGATTAAATGGGTCAAAAGGTTTGTCAGTAAGGTCGATGAGAACTGGAAGAGACATATCAATTTACCATTTCAAAGTGAATTTTCGTCTTTCTTTTCCTTTCTATTTTTTATATTTTTGTTGTATGTCACAAAAAAGAAACTAAAAAAGAACTTAAAATTAATTTATTTAGTTAAATTTATTTTCTTTTATGAAAGTTCATGTTTTTGGAGGTGGAAAAAGTGTAGGAAGTAGTTGTGTTGTTGTTGAAGGAAAAGAAGATGCAATATTATTTGATTGTGGATATAACCCAGTAAGACCAGATGTTGGAATTGATTTTTCACGAATGAATGCAATATCTAGTAAGGTACGAGCGATATGTATTACTCATTTTCATGTTGATCATGTTGGTATGTTACCTTGGTTAACAAAATTTATGGATGTTCCAATTTATCTTTCAGAACCTACACAAGCATTGTTATCATTAATAATAAATGATATTCACAGTGGAAATAATTTGTTTTGCCAAGCTGATTTTGACAAATGTATTTTACAATGTAAACCAATTGATCCTACTATGACTAAACGAGTAACACAAAATTTATCAATAAGATGTATTTATGCTGGACATGCTTTAGGTGCTGTGATGTATGAAGTATTACTGGATGGTAAAAGAATTGTATACTCAGGTGATTTTGATGTTTCTCCTTCATTTCTTTTAAGAGGAGCGGAAATTACATCACATGCAATAGATTATTTGATTACTGAATCAACTTGTATTAATGAACAACATAAAAGAAGGTATGAACTATATCATTATGCTGATTGTTTATTATCTGCTGCACGTTCAGGTGGTTCTGTACAAATTGTTGTTAATGGAATTGGAAGAGGACAAGAAGTGATGGGAATAGTATTAAGTATAGTTCGTAGGTGTCATTTAACAATGCCATTATGTTGTTCAGGTGGAATGTTAACAAAAATAGCAAATGAATATAAAAAATGGAAAAATTGGTTAAGGGATGATGTACATGAACTTGTGGATAATTTCAGTAAGTATCAAATGCTTTCAGCACAAACTAACTACATTGCTATCACAACTCCAGCAACATTAACTAAAGGTCATTCTCTTGAAGTTTTTGAGAAGATTAAAACTGACCCCAAAAGTTTTGTAATTCTTCCTTCATATGTTTCATCAAATCCAAAAACACTTAAAGAAACTGGTTATCAATGTAAAATTATTAGAACAGAAGACAATAATCATTCAGATGGATTTGGTCTTCAGGAGGCTATACGTGCTTTACAACCTAAAGAAGTGTTTCTAGTCCATGGAGATCCACTTAAAATGCAAAAAAGTCAATTGTTCTTTCAAAAATTATTTAATCTTCCTGTCCATATGCCAAATAATAATGAGGCATTAGTCATAAATGATTCTTCTCATAAAAAGAAGAAAAAGTCTTCAAAAAAGAAAATAAATAAATCTAAACCTCCACGTTTACCAACAACTCTTATAGAAGATCATTCTAAACCAAAAGAAGTTAAAAAATTACTTCCATTTGAAGATGATGTATGATAATATAATTGGTTGATTGTTTCTTTTTTTTACTTTAAAATATATAAAAAATAACAAAAATTTAAATTAACAAGTTTGTTCCTTCATCATCATCATCAAATACATTCACATTTTTAGATGGAACTACTCCTGTTGATGAGGCAGGGCGTTGTAACATCTGTTGTTGTTGAGCAACTCTATGAGGTACTGGTCTAACAACTCCAGGTTGGGTTGAGAGTGTTTCAATACGAATAGGTTCTTTTCCTCCAACTGGTGAATGTCCGATTATATGAGGAGATGGACTTGGGCGATACATCTTTGTATCTCCAATTGACCCAACGAAATCTATATTTGATGATGAACGAGAAACAGAACGAGATAATGATTCTCTAGAGTCTTCACCGTTATTAATTGAAATTAATGGTCTATTAATAAATTGACGTATACGTTGATTATTAGAAATTACATCACCTTGGAACGTTACATTAAATTTTTCTATTTCTTCTTCAAGTTCTGAATCTGATTCATGGGCACGTAATAATGTAATTCTTCTAATAAGAAATTTTTGTAATGGTCCTGTTGGCATAAAAACTAATCGAGGGATATTAATAAATTTTTCTTTAACATCTTTATTTGAAAGAATAGTAAAATATTTATGTCTAACCCGATCTATATTCTTACAAACTTCAACAAATCTTTCGACTTGATTAATTCTTAATTCTAATAAAATATTTGCTAATGCAGATGCATAAAAATTAATTTTATAAAATGCAATTGTAAGTTCTAATAATAAAATATCAGCTACATGAAACCCAATTCCATTTGCACAAAAATCAGCTTCTTCAAGATTTTTAGAGATATCAATTAATAATTCTAAAATGGTAAAAGCAAGGTCTATATTTTCAGGTTCTTTAATATTTGGCACATCATTCTCAGCAGAGAGAAGAATTTTATAAGTAGTAAAAAGTATTATCTTTGTTTCAATATGTGAAGCAAATACCTGTGTTGTTTTACAAGGATTCTTTGGAAGGTTACTTGTTATTAAATGAAGTGAATGTGAAAACTGTGATAAAATAAATCCATCAGCATCAACATCCATAAGACGATATACTATACATAATAATCGAATATATCTCTTTTCATCTAAATTCTTTTCAAAGAGTTTCATAAGGTAATGAACAATTACTCTTTTAGACATTTCATCACTCATCATTTTAATTAATTCAACAACTTTACTCTCAGGTGGAGCAATATCTTTTGACCTAATAACCTTATTTAATAATTTTTGTTCTTTTGTTTCAGTGAATCCACGAATAGCACCTAGTAATGACATGTTTTACTAAATTGAATTTTAAGATATTTGGCTGTATTCCTTCATTTTTTAAGGGTTTGTTAACGTGCTTTTACAATCTCCTTACAGAGCCATTCCTTTTTTGTTTCTTTACGACAAAGTAAAAATCCCTTAAATACTTATTGGAATTTTCATTGAAATTTTTCATACATTTGATCCCATTTGATTGGGATATTTTCACTTATTTAATCTTTTTAACAAAACTTTTTAACCCTGATTAGGGTTTATACTTTATTTATCAGTTTTCTATGTTACAAAGAGATTCTTCTACTTTGTTTCTTTCATAATTCCTAACTATGAAATTTCCAAGTAGTGTAGTTTTCAGATAATAGTCATTAATAATTTCTTTTATTGTATTTTCAAATGAGATGCGGTAAAACTTTTTTTACATAACTTTGACGTCAGCAAAACTATTTTTAAATGCTATTGTTCTTTTACAATAAAAAACATTTTAAAACAATAGAAATAAATTCATCTAACTTTACTACAACCCAAGTACTTCTCTTGGAAGTATTATACTATTTCCCTGATTTTTTAGTGTCTTTTGCTGAATAAACGTATTTATTATTATAAATTATTTTTCTTAAAATATTACCTGAGATATATTAACTCTTAAATCTTACTGGTTTTGGAAGTATTTCTTGATACAATTCATAGAATAGTTATATAAAAGTTTAGTTATTTGAAGTTATCTTTTAAGTATTTGATCAAACATACCTTATAAGTAATTTAGTCAAATACAACAAAATAAGTAATAATAATTAATTTAATGATTTATAAGAATAAATAACTTCTTGTAAATAATTACTTATTTTAATTATTACTTCTCATTATTGTAAAATAATTTTATGAATAATTTCTATATCAGAAATACTGTAAATACCATAAATTAATTACAAACCATTATTAGTAAATATTATAATTAAAATAAACAATACGTTGAACTATATTTTAAAAATGTTTTTAGCATAATAAATAATATACATTATTTTAATCTACATTAATTATTGGTATAGAATTTATTCCTCTTTATGAATAATTGTTTTTAATGAAAAACACAAAAATTTATTTTTTCAAAAACTTTTCATTGTTAATTGAATTGGGTGGTTTAGTGAAGTTAAAGAACTATTTTCTATAAGTCTAAATAAATTAAATTTACTTACTATGCCGTTGAGTAAATTGTTAATTAAAGAAAGAATAAATATCATTGTCTGTTCTGATTTTATTACTTAAACCTTATTTCTCTCTTGAATTGATAAAAATACTTTGTGTATCTCTTCATTAATTTGTTAAACTCTCAATATTAAAAATATATTCAGAATGAAACTTTATTAAATAAAAAGAATTTGATAACGCACTACTTGAAAGTTAATGAAAAGAACCTTTTGGATCAACCTACCACTCAGTATTAAATTTTAAAGTAATTTTTATTGTATAATCCATCTACTAATTTCTTATAATAATTATAAATTAACTCTATCCTAATGAAGAACAATACCTACATTCGAAAATACTTCTAAAAAGGAGTTTATCTTTTTAGTTGTCTTCCAATATTAAAAGAACCTGAAAAATAAACTAAAAACAAACTAATAATTTAAGGTTTTTATTCATTTCTATGAGCAAATGTTCTTCTTATGTAATGGGTTGAGGCTTTTGGAAGTGGTTTGTTTCTTATAAGAACAGTGTCATCAAATACCTTTGTATATTGAGGTTTTCTGGCTCTTGTAATACGTAATTGAGGTGATTCAACAAATAAACTTTTAATAGAGTCAATGGCTTTATCATAATCCTCTTCTGAATCATATCTACATCTATTATATTTCATATCAGTGAACAAAAATCTCATTCCTAGAATTGCCCAATCCATTGACTCTAGTGTATTTAAAGGAACATGATATTTTGGTGCATCTGAATCAAATAAATAGCGTAAACATGGGAGTGTGTCTTCATAACTTTTGTTTCGGATAATAGTGCATTGAACAGATTTAGCTTTAAAACTGAATATATTTCCTAATGACATCATAGACTCGGCAAGACTTTCTAAGCTTTTCCAAATTGAATTCCAAAACGAGTTTTTATTTTGCTGCATTATATAAGGTATTTTTTTGCTTTTGTGACCATTCCTTTTCAAACCTTTTCTTTTCATTCCAAGATAGTAACAGTATCAATGAAAATGATAAGAATGCTTTGTTTCTCAATCAAATTTTTTAAGTAAATTATTTTGTTTTTTTGAAGAAAAAAGAAAAAACTAAAACTAAAACATCAATAAAAAATGAAAAGTTAAAAAAAGATGAGGTTTACAGAAAAAAATACTTAAAGTTCAAACAAAGAAAAGAATGAACATTATAACTCAACCTACTAAAATGGAGGAGGTTCAAGGACTAAGTGAAGAAAAAGCACTTAGAATTAAGAAGATTGAATCTAAACAAGTTTCTTTACAAGAATTATATTTATGGCTTATGGAACCAATAAACGTCATTGTTACGAATGAACTTGAATATTTTAACACCGTCTTAAATACATTTGTTGAACATCCAGAAGGAGAGGTATTAAAATTAGTCAATCATATATTAAATGAATTATACAAAAAACCAGCTACAATGTCTTTGACATGTGAGTTTATGACAATAACCAATACAACAACTGACTTATTCATTCAATTTGTTGGAGAAAATAAAGATGAATTAACACATGTACTAGATACAATGAGTCATGCTACTTCAAAATTTCTCCGGGAGTCATTTATTGAAGCATTAAACACATTATTTTCTAAGGGGGCTACTGAAACTACTATATTTATTGAACACTATTTTATAAATAACTTTAAAAATACACTTGTTCAACAAATTATTCCAAGTCTTCCTAATAATTCATTAACTTTAGGAAAAGAATATTCTGAGGTTGCTAAGACATTAATAATTAACAATTTATCAAATGAATTTATTCCAATGTCATTAATTGATTTTTATGGAGAACATTGCGAAACTGTTGATGAGGAATTTATTAGTAAAATTAATGATGCACTATTTTCAGTTCCATCTCCTGAACACATGGAATTACCAATTGTACAAAGTGATTCTGTAAGAGCTGCTTTAATGAAATTATTACAAAGAATATTTTTAAAAGAATATACTGCACCTGAGTTAATTAAAATGTGTATTAATCACATTAAAGATATAGAAATGAAACGAGTAAATGGAGCAACATTTAAGAAACAACCGTTTGTTGGATTAGAAAACTTAGGATGTACATGTTATATTAATTCATTAACACAACAATTATATATGAATCCATATTTTAGAAATAGTATTATGAATGTAAAAGCAACAGATGAAACGCCTTATATTAAAACATATCAAAAACTTTTTACTGAATTACATGAAACAAAAGTAAGATATATAAATACAGATGAATATGTTTCTTCATTAAAAGGAGAAGATGGAAAAGAATTAAACCCATATGTTCAAATGGATACTCATGAATTTTTATCTTCAACATTAGATACTATTGAAAAGGAACTTAAAAGTATTGAAGGTCAAGAAAATATTATTGATAAATGTTTTTCAGGAACATTAGTTAATCAAATTGTTTCAAAAGAATGTGAACATATTAGTGAACATGAAGAAAAAACAATTTGTGAACAAATGAATATTGTTGTTTTTGGAGAAAAGAATAAAACAAGTTTGGCTGAAAGTTTACAGTCACTTGTTAATGGAGATGAATTAACTGGAGAAAATAAATACTTTTGTGAGAAATGTAAAAAAAAAGTTGATGCTATTAGAAGAACATGTATTAAAACACCACCAAATACTTTAATTCTTCATTTAAAACGATTTGAATTTGATTATGAAACCTTACAAAGAATTAAAATTAATGACAGATATGAATTTCCAAGAGAATTAGATTTATATCCATATTGTATTGAACATATTAATCATCCAGAGAAAAAAGATGAAAATGGAGAATATAAATTTAAATTAGTTGGAGTTTTAGTTCATCTTGGAACATTAGACAGTGGACATTATTATTCTTATATTAAAGACCAAGAAACTGGAGATGAATGGTTTTCATTTAATGACGATTTAATTGATAAATTTGATATTAACACATTAGAAGAATCATGTTTTGGAGGTGGACAATATAGTAAACATTACTCTGCATATATTTTATTTTACCAAAAAGAAAAACCAACAATGGATATTCCACCTGTAAAATATCTTGATGATGTTAAAAATAATGTTATTAAAAACAATTTAAATCTTATAAGTAATTCTGTTATATTATCTAATACTGCAATGTCTGATTATTTAATTCAACAAATGCAATATATTAATGGTGAAGAATTAACTGAATTTAAAGATACTACTGTTGTTCCAAATAAAATGGAAGAAGAATCTAATAAAGAACAAGAAAGAGTTGAAAAACTTAAGAAAATGGATGGAGAAAGAAAATGTATAGATGAAAGCCTTATTAAAGATTTAGCAAAAACTTGTATACATTATCAATTAACACATGAAACAATGTTATATGGATATTCAAGAACTGATCTATTTCAAAATGAATTGGTAACATTATTATCTAAACATCAAAGCATTGTTGATGAAATGTTAACTGAAGAAATTACTGGAGAAACAGATGATGATTTATTACAAAAAACAAAAATGTATATTACTGGTGTTAATGCTTCATTAGCAACAATTAACTTCTTTGTTCGTATATTTGCAATTGGAAATAAAGATCTTTTAACAAAATATGCTATTTTATTAGTTAACCTTTTTTCTAAGTCTCAACGAGTTGGGTCTTCCTTTCGCTGCTTATGTCACTACATTAGGTTGTTTTGTGAAAACCCATTGTGCAGTGATATATTCACAAAACAAATTGTTAGTGGTGCTGGTTATATCATGTGTTATACTACTCTTCGCGTACATTCTACTCAAGTAAAAAAGGTACCTGATTATAGTAATTTGTACATTCTTTTTATGAAGTCATTGGCACAAAGTAGTCAAACATTAAATCAAACTATACAAAACCAAATTACTTCTATTAACTTTAAAAAAGATACATTAAATTGGATTGAAAAATGTAAAGTTTCAGTTGATAATTTACCATTAGCTAATGCATTAACTGAACTTATTATTAAAACAGAACCAAATATTAGAGAATCTTTTATTAATTTTGTTAAAGATATTCAAGACTCAAAACATCCGTTAGAACAAGTTTTGTCAATAGCATATAGTGAATTAACAAAATACATTAAATTTAATAATGAAGCTGAAGTTCAATTTTTCTATAAATATCTTATTGATGAAGTACATGGCTATCACTTCCCTTCAGAAAATATATGTATTTCAAATATTATTAAAAATTCAATTCTTGCTAATTTACATGTTAAATCAACTGTACAACAAATATTAATTCAATTTATTCAAAACAATGAGAAAGAAGTATATAGATGTATTTTACATTATCATGAATTGTTCCAAAAATCTATTAATGAATTATATTTATATATATTAGATAATTATTATATTCAATTATGGCAATCATTAATTATTCCTAAACTTCTTTTAGAATCAAATTTATTCAATTTCTTATACTTTAATAAAAAAAGTTATTGTTCAAAATTACGTTATAGTATTATTACTCTTGATACTGCACTAAGTTCTACTCAATACGTAGAAGAAGAACTAATAAAAAATTTAATTGAGTTATATCAAATTATTATATCATTAAATAACACACCAAAACCTGATTATAACTTATACTCCTTATCAATTCTTACTTATCACTTAGCTCAAAGACGACCAGATTTATTTAATATTTCTATTTTATTAAAATTCTCATATCCAAATTATATTGAAACACAAATAGAAAATAAGGAAATAAATAAAGAAATTAATCAAAATCAAACAGGAATGTTAAAATGTGTTATTACTTATATTTGTGAACATAAACGAGATGACCTTATTAATGTTATAAAAGACAAGTCATTTGATTCAATAATGAATGAGTTATTAACTAACTCAACATATGATGATGAAAATATAAATTATTTAATTCATATGATATTTTCTAATAATGAAGAAGAAGTGTTGTTTGATTTTATTGAATATTTTACTATTGCATCATTAATACCTATAAAAGAACGTGTTGAACTGATGATCAATTTAATATTTAAAGATGAAGAAAGTATTAGACGATTTGTTAATAAACATTCTGTCAATAAAATAATTTTATTATGTAGTCAAAAAGTTTTTATGCCACAAGTTCTTAAAATACTTATTCCTTATTTACCAACCCAAATAGAATCTTTTAATATTTGTAGAGATGTATTACAGAAATTTACTCCAAATAAAGAAAATATTGATATAATTAAAAGTTTACTCAATAAAATTAATAATGCTCTTGAAAGAGTTGATGGAAATACAAATTCAATTATGTTCCATTTAACCTCTATTATTGGTATTATTAATAAATTATCTAAAACTGAAGAAATTAAAGAAATTGAAGAAGAAATATTTAAATTACTAACTAACTTTGAAAATAAAGGTGGAAAACTCCAACAAGTACTTAGTTTATTACTCATTTCGACAACTTTTATTAAAGAAGATCATTTAAAACTACTTCACTTCTTATTAGTTAAAAAGAAATTAACAACTAAACCAGAAACTGCTGAGGCTATTGGTAAAGTTATTTGTGAGAATCAAGAAAACGTTATATTAAGAAATGAAATTATTGAGTATATCAACTCCAATAATAGATCTATTTAATTCAATAGAATTATTTGACTTATCCTTCTTCTGGTTTTTTAATACTACAAAAATAGAAATCAACATTTACAATTAACATTTATTTATTT